TATATATATATACAACATACATATATATATATATATATATATATATATGTATATATGCATATATATGTAGGCATATATGTATGTATATATACATATATATATATATATGCATATATGTATATTTATATATATACACGCACACATATGTTTATAGTCAAATAAATACACACGTATGTATATGTAATCACCTGGTTACGCTCAGCCTTGACAACAAAGTTCTCGTCAGCCAAGAGAGGTCTTGCCATTGAGACCATATCGGCTTGTCCAGAGGAGATGATATCGTCCGCAACGTCGGGTGAGTTAATTCGGTTGGTTGTGATCAGCGGAATCTTCAGCCCTGCGCGCACACACAACACACACACATACATACATATACACATACACACACATATACACATACACACACATATACACAACACACACGCACACACACACAGTCGATAGGTAGAAGGAAAAAACAGTTGATCTGCATCTGATACTATTTCTTATGGCTGAAGGTTATCACGGGTGTAGATATATGAGCTATTCAATATTGTGATGAAATGCAATGTTCTATCAGATTTGACAGACATCCATAGTATGTCATCTGAGTATGTAGATAGTGGTCACATCCACGCGTGTTCTGCACTGACGTGACATGTGGTGTATCATCGATGTGCATGTGAATGCAGCATGATCGGCGCATGTGGGCAGTGTGTGAGACCACTACGCTTCAGTGCTTTCCGTTGAATGCCATCTGAAGTTAGTCTCATCTCTGGACAGAGCAACACGAGCGTGTGTGTACAACACGAGTTTGTACCGAACATTAGGGAAAAGCTTTCTATATATGGAACAGGTCGGCACCTGTGGATGGGCGGCATGTGGTACAACGGGGACATTGATCGAGATGACTACCAACCCATGTGTACACGGAATAGATCTTAAGATGCTCAGCATTCTACATATAGAACAGACAATCTATTCCCATCTAGATAAGTACCGGCCCATGTACACAGAATAGATCTTGAGATGTTCAGTATTCTATATATAGAACAGACACTCATCATAGCCGTCATAGTGCCTAGGCAGCGCGGGGTACAGAGGCTCTAATAGTCGGAAGGATCAAGGACCCTTTCTACTATACACACAGATACAAACCCATGTAACATTCAAACACGTCTGTCAACCCCTCCATACAGAGCTCTCATAACCATGCCACACACCTTCTTTCTTCATCTTGGCCGTTACCAGCGCATAGGCAGCGCGGGGTACTGATGTGACAATGGTAGGCACGCGTGCCTCATGCCAACCAATGCCTGTGTTGATGATCGTCGCCCCAGCCGCTTCAATAGCCTGCGGAACAGCGGTAGGTAGAATATCCTTGAATACACCATTCACAACATCGGATTTATCATTGTATACACCATTCACAACATCGGATTTATCATTGTATACACCATTCACAACATCGGATTTATCATTGTATACACCATTCACAACATCGGATTTATCATTGTATACACCAATCACAACACTAGACTTATCATTGTATACACCCACTAGATTTATCATTGAATACACCAATCAGAACACTAGATTTATCATTGAATACACCAATCACAACACTAGATTTATCCGTTAATAACTACTCCACGGTGCTACATAGAAGTGAATAAAAGGAGTACATTAAAGGATCGACATGTGCTCTATATGCTCGCACGCATGTTGTATGCTAATTGGCGTATGCTCCTGTGCATATCTCATACTGTCGTATAATCGTACGCAAGTCACACATGCAACACCCACCAACCCTCGAGGAAAAAAACCTCCCAACAGCAAAATCTAAACAAACCAGAATACTGGTAGAAGAGAAAAGTGCAGTTTGAAATAACGACGTGAGGCATGGAGCACATGCGCCACCCACCTTGGCTAGCTGCACAATCTCTTCCCAGGAACTGCCGTCAGGAATTAGATCCAGCATGGACAGCCGGTAGATGATGATGAAGTCTGGTCCCACACGCTCTCTATGTGTCGCAACGCAAATTGAAATAAGCAGGCGTAAACAGCAAGAAATGATCTATTTATGGCTATATTTAAACGGGTAGATGATGATAAAGTCTGATCCCACATGCTCTCGAAGTGTAGCAACGCAAATTAAAATCAGCAGGTGAAAGAAGCAAGAAATGATCTATTTAGGATTTAGGGTTAGGGATAGCATATCTAAAACTTTAAACTCAGAACTGCCAAAAAAAAAACTCGAATTTTGTTAAAAAATAATACTATATATTTGTACAAATATGGTAAAATACACGATAAAAACGAGGGTCCTTACTGAAGTATATATCAATACAAGTCTATTTATAGCACAGCAATCGAATATACAGAAATGCAATACAAACAGAGAGCACCGCAAAGATCGCATGCATTGTGTAGCAACAGAAAAGTAATGGTCCATACATACAGGGTTTTAGGGTTTAGGATTTATACAGCCATACAAGCATAGAATTCAGGAACAACACAGACAGGTATATCAATAGTCGCACATCACCCTTCGCTACCACAGAAAGACACAAAATACAGGCATATCTGCAAATGCATGGACACGAATACTTACAACCTTCTACACTATCCATAGACATCATATTTACCACATGGTCTATGATGTATGTCTCTACGTATGCTTATGGGCTCACCCCTCCACGATACTTGGTCTAATATGCATATGTAGCATATGTATGTACACAACTGATAAGCATAAGAGGGCCTTGTGACTACCGTTTTAATGATAATTGATGGTGTGTTTTGTGTACTAGATCAGGCAATGGCCTATCGATTCCCCCCGTTCTATAAATTACACACGATACACATGCGCAGTACCACGAACCGGGGCATATGCTGTCGAGGAAGTATATTATATAAATATATATAAA